GCGCACCTCTTCGGAGCGCTTGGCAGGGCCAAGGCCTCTGGTTGCAACCCTCTTGCAGTCTTTCATCACGATGTCCAACTGGTGGCTCCATGGGTATCCTGCACGAAGATGCTGCTGCCTGGCCTCAAGGAGATAAGAAAAGGATGATCGATAGCCCGCAGCACGAAGCACTGCCACAAACGTCTCGCATTTGCTCTGCGTAAGGGGCAGAGCCGGCAGGCCACTTCTCTCCTGAACTTCCTTCCAAGTCCGGAACATCGAAGTCTTGGTGTCATTTGAGCCTGCCGAGTACACTAGCTGGTCAAAGCCCAGCCTGGCCCTTTGTGAAAGTGTTGGGTCGGATGCAATCTCCAGGGCCCTCTTCAACGACGGCCTTTGCCTCTCCTCCGTGTTGGAACTGTCTGGCTGCAAGGGGCCTCTTGGCCTTCTCCTGATCAGCCTTTCGGTCTCCAGCAATTGCTCCGCGCTGCCTGGTGTCGTGGCAGTGGAAGGCCCTTCCGCCTCCTCCTCCACCACGATCCACCCAGACCTCACGGCCACCGAGTCACTGGCGGTTGCCACTGGAGCCCCATTCGCTTCAGGCAGTCCCAACTGCCTTCTAGCCAGCGCCACAGCTGGGGGGAGTGCCTCAACATTTGCCTCCATTGGCCTCTGACCCCAGGGAGAGAATCCTGGCCTGGCCCTCAAGTTGGTGTGCCCCCTTCCAGGCACCCATCCTGAGCGCCTGCTCGCACACCAGCTGGCGATGTGCCCGAGCACCATGGTCTCAACCCTCAAAGCTTGAACCCTAAAGGAGGCCCCAAAGAAAAGAAAATCCCAAGCAGAATCCGCGCGAGTCCTTTTCTCAGACACTCTCAACAAGCATGCTCATGCACATCGCTTGAACAACCTCGCTGCCTCAGTCAGTGAGAAACGCTCAACCCCGATGAGTGCCCTAGGCACAGTGCCTCGTGAGAGGTCGTCCGCATCGGTGTTGAGCAATCCTCGAACATGACGTCCCTCCAGCGGGGCAAGTTCGAGCGATTCGATTTCGAGAGCAAGCTCACCTGCGATCCTATTCAAAGCAGGGCTGTGTGCCTTAAATTCAAGGGAAGCAAGAAGGGTTGAAACATTGTCGGAACGAAGGAAAACTCTGTGTGCTCCGCCCTTCAACAAACTGTGAAATGCACGAAATGCCAAAAGGACAGCGAACAACTCCCATTCCGACTGCCAGCTCGGATCGTTGCACACGCACCTCTGGTCCACCCACCAGGCATCTTGCTCGGTGAGCTGGTGCATGTAAAACCCGCGTGGTCTGGTCCCGAAACAAATGAAGGAGCCAACCCCACTGGGGCAGGCATCTGTCCATAACTCGCACAGGGGCAAATGGTCTCCGAAAAGAAACACCTTCGACAACGAACATGGGACCTCAGGAATAGGAGTTGGGGAATCTAGGATGGGTGAGAGGTTTACCACTGGCTCGTGGGAACGATTGGCCCCGACGACCAGCATCGCATGCAAACCAGTGATGGCCCACGACACCTGCTTCCAGAACGTCAGCCCCTTCCGGCGACGCGTCGTGGACCGGATGGATGCACCCTCTTGCGACGCCGTCGTCAGCGCCCCCCACAACGCCGCGGTCCAGGGCCTCGCCACCGGGACCAGGTTGCTGACCCATCCCATGATGCCCGCTGCCTGGGAGAGTCGCCGAGTGGAGATCATCCCGTTTCGGCCGGCTTCAAAGATTTCTTGAAACAGTTCGAACAACCGTTGGGTTTTCTCCGGGGTAAGGGACACTCTCAGGTTCTCAAATCGTTCCCCTTCTAAATGGAGAGCAACCCCGATCCACTCTACTTTGGGACCTCGCTGAACTTTCTTCCAAGCCAGGGTGGCACCCAAACAGCACCAAAGAAGCGTCACTCGTGCAAAGACCGCGGTTCGGGCTCTTGTGGATGGTCCTATGGCAACAAGTAAGGGGTCGTCCACATAACATTGGGAACGTCCCTCCCGAGATTCCATGGTCGCCTGTCCCAGGCGGAGGAGGGCGGCGGCCAAACGGCCCCAAACCAGGGGACCGCAGCACAGCCCAAAACAAACAGAAAGCAAAATGTAATACCGACCATCGTTGCCCTTCACCACGGTATGTGATCGCTCCGATGGGTGCAGTTTCAAGGTGTAGAATGCGTCTGAAAAATCAATGATATAAAACTCCGGTACATCGTGTCCACCTGCATGCTTTAAAAGTTCACCTAAACACTTGGCAACATCAGAAACACGGGGGAGGACGACACGCTCGTGAACCGACATGCGTCCGTTGACCCCGGATCGTCTCATGTCCACGATGATTCGAACCTTCTCCCGCCCTTGTTTCATTTTCACTATGCAGGCCATCTTGGTGAGTGAAGCGTCTCCCACCGATGCGACCACATCTGCCCAGGTGTCTTTGCGCAATGCCCAACCTCTTTCCACCATGCGATCCAGCTCGGACTGAGCTTTGTCACCGGCTTCGGCAAAGGACGAGTAGTTCTGTGCCTTCCCATCCCAATCATCCATCACTGCAAAGGCTTGAGAGGCTTTGGCAGCCGCGGTCAGGTCATCAGACCTGGGGAACACACCTGTGTAGGTGATCTGCTGGTTGATTCCGATGGGGAAGCCGTCCTCAATCCAAGCCGGCAACACAGTGGCATCAGGGTCTTTGGCCTGTGTCAACAACTGTCGGAGAAGGTCGCTCTGGTAGCCTTCGTCCTTGGCCTCAGCTTCAAAGTGCCGGGTCAAGCTGTAGCGTGCTTTCCAAATCAACCCCTCCGGAAAAGGACATTCATCAACCGAATTCTCAAAACAGGTGAGGATGTCGTCCGTGAGCGACTGGTCCAAAAGTTGTCGGATCTGCCGCCCCACCTGCTGAAGTTCCTTGCATCGGGCCACTGCTCTTCTGGGGTCTCGGAGTCCCCCGATGACCTCGGCATTCTCTCTCTCTCTTCGTTGAGCTGTGGTTTCCATGGCCTCTCGTCGAGGAGGAGATGCTGTGCGATTCATTCCCTCCTGCTGCCACACACGCGCCAGTGACAGGAGCTTGAGACCATCGTTTCCTATTCGAACCAGTGTCCTCGATGCCAGCCAATGCTGTCCAGCCTCGGAGTGAATCCACTGCCTCAACGACGTTGCCCATGCCCAGCAGAGTCCTGCCGGGTACTCGGCAGCCTTCGACGTCCTCCAGACCCACTGATTGTCCAGCGGGTCCCAAACAAACCCAGTCAGTCCGCCAGGTCGATGACGATGTGGCCGCACTTGCTTGCAGGTCAAACAAACAGTCTTCATCCACGGTGCAGATGCCATGATGCCCGTAGGTTTGACTGTCTCCGCCCCGTATGGGCACTGGTCGAGGTGCACCAGTTCTGCATGCATGCACTTCCTCAGTTGCTCCATGATCTTGATCGACCATGCGTAGGAGTCCTTGGGGTTCTCCATGCTGAAGAATTTGCCTCTTTCTGTCGCCCTGAAGCCCAGGGCGATGGTTCTCTTCAAGATGTCGTTTCCTTCCTCTGCAAGGGGGTGACCCCACCCTTCTGGATGCGAGTCTGAGCGCACCTCCACTGCAGTTCCATACTGGTCGGACCGTCTGGCCCTTGAAAAGGATTTGCACGGGAATGCAGCATGTGTCCAATCTGCTTCGTCCACGGCTGTGCACGCTGCTTGGAAGCCCTCCTCCGTGCGAATGTCCCAATTGTCGTAGATGTCCTTCGGCTCGAGGACCTCGACCAGGTCGCCAGCCAAGTCTCTCACGGCTGTCGACAGACCACCCATGCCTGCAAAGAGCTCGAGGAATCTCAGTTTCCGCATTCGCGGATCCAGCTGTGACGGCGCCATCTCGTCCATGTCGTCCACGATGCCAGCTTCGACCTGCGGCCGATCCGCTTGCTGTGTGTCCTCGTCCATCGACGAGCTGCCAGCACTTTCGTCGTGTCACTTCTTCCACTTGTTCTTGCCGCCACCCGAACCATCCTTGCTTTTGCCAGAACCCTTTGAGGCCCTGGGACATTGTGCATTCGGGTGACGCCCCAAGCAAATCTGGCAGGCATGGTCTCGCCCCTCCTTGCAGGGCTCTGGACAGCTGTTTGCCGGACCCTTGGCGAACTTGTAGCAAATCTCGACCCCGTCGGAGTTCGTGGAATAGAGTCCCCCTTTGGCCTTCTGATAAGGCTTGCCACCTGAGTTGCCGTCTCCCTTCGAATGGTCCCAGGAGCTCCATGAAGACCACGATGGTCCAGGTGTCGGCTGCGCTGCCCATCGCTCTCGAGCTTCTTTGTCCCTCCTGCGCCGTTTCGCGGCTTTCGATTGTCCCTGTCCAGGAAGGCCAGGCGGGCTTTCTCCCCCACTGTTCACTCTGTCGATGATCTCCTGCGCAGGCTCCGGTATGGTGGCTCTGCTGGCCTTGTCCATGGTCATCTGCTTCCCGCCCCTGGCGATGAAGTTCTGTGCTGGGCGAACCACATGCTCGTCCCAGAATGCTGAGTCCCTTGCCGCGTGAGTGAAGACTCCAATCCAGGGTTCTGAAGCCGAGAAGTCGAGGCCCATCGGGAGCTTGCCATCGATGGCCGCTTTGCAGAGTTGGCGTCTGTAACGCTCGAACATCTCCGATCGACAGCGGTCCTCCGCCTGCATCAGCAGGTGCCAGGTCTCTGGGAACTCCGCATTGAGCTTGGTGATACGCTCGAAGTATTCCTCCAAACAAGCAGCTGTGACCACTCTTCGAAGAGGTCCTCCTGCAGCATGTGGTGGATACCTCAGCATGAACAATGCGGACCTGTACACTTTCCAGCATGCCGCCCATGTGTCGAACGACGGTGGTCCAGGGACGTCTAAGGCACGAAATGTACCATCTTGCTGAAGCAGCCATGACCTCGCCTTCATCTGCTTTTGGACTCGCCTCCCATACGGAGTGAGGACACTGAAGTCCGCGTACGGGCTTTCGCCCCTGTCCACCACCCTCGTCTTCAAGGCAGCTATTTGCTCTCCAGTTGGCTCTGCATCCGCTGGCGGGTCTGCTCCTGTGACCTCTGCATGGTGGCGGTAGGCCTCGTCCAGTTGAGCTTGAGTCAGCAAGGGGACATCCGACTCGTCCAGTTGGTCGATCACTGATGCAGCTTTCACCCTCTTTGCAGATGGAGGTGAGGTCACAGAGGTCCCAGCTGCGGGAGAAGAAGGACTGCCACTGCCTAGGTCTGCAAGCGGGTCCACATCCTCCATGCCATAGGCTTGACGTGCCACTCTCCAAACCAACGCCAATTGAATGGCTTCGACAACTGACAGTTCGCGAGGGTCTCCACCTGAGGTTGAAGCGATTCGCACTAAAGCCAGGGTCTCTTTGAAAGCGCTGGTGGCAATGTTGGCTAACACGCGCAAACTTGGAACTTGCCCCACTGCTGTTTGCCAGGCGCCCCATGCAGGATCTCGTGAACCAGCCCATCTGCGAGCCTCTTCAAGGGTGGTGATGCCGGCGAGTTCGGAGGCGGTCGGTAGAATCGATGCGGTCATTCAAGGCAGCAAAGGCACGAAGAGTCACCGGCTCAATGCCGATGTCAAAGGCCTGCACTGGCCTGCCAAGCCACCAGCCACGAAGCCACCAACCACTCAACACACCAACGGCCCAAACGAGGAGCAGGAAAAGGAGGAAGTCATCCATCGCACATATCCCCCCCTCTCCTGTCGTTGGGCCCTTGAGCCAAAATGGACAGGAGAGGGGGACACATCAACTCAAGACTCGACCACTCCACCAAGTTCCTGCTTAAGTTATTACACACAAATAGGATTTGTTACGCAATAACAATCAGCAAGAACAAACCCCCACCCTGCCAACCCTAGGTTTGTTTGTCAAGCAAGTGCAACAAAGAACGGGCTTCTTTTGACTCACAGGTTGGTGGAAGAAAGGAAGCATGGTTTCCATTGAGGCATCAAACTGAGGTTCAAGCAATTCCCATGCACCTCGGACGCGCCTCTTCCAACTTGTCCTTTCTTGCCCACTTCCGGGCCTTTCAACAAATGTGCCATGGGCCAGGAACACGCGCAAACACCACGTGTCCCCAGCAACTCGATGGCACATTCAAAGCAGTCAAACCATGCACAGACTCTCCCTTCTTTTCCTTTCTTCCTGCTAGTCCCCTATGCTACTATAGAGTTAAAGTGAACTTTCCAGGCCCAATCTATGCAAAGCACTTGTCACAGAGCGGGAACTGATTCAGCTCGTCTTCGCTCACGTAAGTGACCGTTTTGGAAGAAGCAGCCCACTTCCACCCACATTTCGTCGCCCATGCGGACGGGACTTCCCAGAACAGGCATGCCTGGGTGGAATGAACTTTGTTTGTGGTGGTGTTACGAATGTATGCCGGACGAATGTTGTCCCACATTCGTCTCACCTCGGTGTCCAAGCTCTCCAATGCCGCCTTGCTTGACGACGGCCGCTCTGCAGCCGCTTCCGCTGTCACCTTCACCTGATCCTTGAGCTCATCAAGGTCCTTTCGAAAAGCGTTGAGTGCCGCTTGGACTTGTTCGTGATCAGTGAGGATAGTGGCCATATCTGGACTCTCCTCCACGGCGTCCTCGATGTAGGCCTCAATGGCGTTGCTGCTGTGCCGAGCCATCTTCATGATCACCTCTTTTGGCGTGTTTGCACGGGCTAAGCGCTTCACTCCAGATCTGCGCATGAAGTGCCCTGTGATCTTTGCTGGCTCGACGGACGATGCCTCCTCAACCACCGAGCGCGTCAGTCTCTCAGCGTCCTGCTGGGCCGCAAGCACCACCTCCGTCTTGCAAGTGAAGGCAAATGGGTTTCCTCGTTGGCCGACCAAGGGGATGGAGAAGGCCGATGTGGCTGAGCGGTCGGCCTTTGCGCGTGCTTTCTGCCTCTCCACCAGTTCAAAGCCTACCTCAAAGGGGCAGAGTAGCCCATGGAAGGTCGTGTCGTCTTCCGCTCCGCAGCACCTGAGCGTTCTCCTGGCCGTCCTCCCCCCTGGGTCCGATTTGCTCACCGACAGAGAGAGGGTGATGGTCTTCGCGACCTCGTCCAGTCGGATGGTGTTCTCGTGTAGGTCCAGCATTGCCAACTCGCCCTCCCTAAGGAGGAAGTGCGAGCCTAATGCCCAAAGAAGAATGCCTCCAAATGGTGCCTGCGGCTTCTCAGCCATCTTCAAGCCCTCCAACTCAAACAATTTCTGCCACCACTCGACGCGCACCTCTTCGGAGCGCTTGGCAGGGCCAAGGCCTCTGGTTGCAACCCTCTTGCAGTCTTTCATCACGATGTCCAACTGGTGGCTCCATGGGTATCCTGCACGAAGATGCTGCTGCCTGGCCTCAAGGAGATAAGAAAAGGATGATCGATAGCCCGCAGCACGAAGCACTGCCACAAACGTCTCGCATTTGCTCTGCGTAAGGGGCAGAGCCGGCAGGCCACTTCTCTCCTGAACTTCCTTCCAAGTCCGGAACATCGAAGTCTTGGTGTCATTTGAGCCTGCCGAGTACACTAGCTGGTCAAAGCCCAGCCTGGCCCTTTGTGAAAGTGTTGGGTCGGATGCAATCTCCAGGGCCCTCTTCAACGACGGCCTTTGCCTCTCCTCCGTGTTGGAACTGTCTGGCTGCAAGGGGCCTCTTGGCCTTCTCCTGATCAGCCTTTCGGTCTCCAGCAATTGCTCCGCGCTGCCTGGTGTCGTGGCAGTGGAAGGCCCTTCCGCCTCCTCCTCCACCACGATCCACCCAGACCTCACGGCCACCGAGTCACTGGCGGTTGCCACTGGAGCCCCATTCGCTTCAGGCAGTCCCAACTGCCTTCTAGCCAGCGCCACAGCTGGGGGGAGTGCCTCAACATTTGCCTCCATTGGCCTCTGACCCCAGGGAGAGAATCCTGGCCTGGCCCTCAAGTTGGTGTGCCCCCTTCCAGGCACCCATCCTGAGCGCCTGCTCGCACACCAGCTGGCGATGTGCCCGAGCACCATGGTCTCAACCCTCAAAGCTTGAACCCTAAAGGAGGCCCCAAAGAAAAGAAAATCCCAAGCAGAATCCGCGCGAGTCCTTTTCTCAGACACTCTCAACAAGCATGCTCATGCACATCGCTTGAACAACCTCGCTGCCTCAGTCAGTGAGAAACGCTCAACCCCGATGAGTGCCCTAGGCACAGTGCCTCGTGAGAGGTCGTCCGCATCGGTGTTGAGCAATCCTCGAACATGACGTCCCTCCAGCGGGGCAAGTTCGAGCGATTCGATTTCGAGAGCAAGCTCACCTGCGATCCTATTCAAAGCAGGGCTGTGTGCCTTAAATTCAAGGGAAGCAAGAAGGGTTGAAACATTGTCGGAACGAAGGAAAACTCTGTGTGCTCCGCCCTTCAACAAACTGTGAAATGCACGAAATGCCAAAAGGACAGCGAACAACTCCCATTCCGACTGCCAGCTCGGATCGTTGCACACGCACCTCTGGTCCACCCACCAGGCATCTTGCTCGGTGAGCTGGTGCATGTAAAACCCGCGTGGTCTGGTCCCGAAACAAATGAAGGAGCCAACCCCACTGGGGCAGGCATCTGTCCATAACTCGCACAGGGGCAAATGGTCTCCGAAAAGAAACACCTTCGACAACGAACATGGGACCTCAGGAATAGGAGTTGGGGAATCTAGGATGGGTGAGAGGTTTACCACTGGCTCGTGGGAACGATTGGCCCCGACGACCAGCATCGCATGCAAACCAGTGATGGCCCACGACACCTGCTTCCAGAACGTCAGCCCCTTCCGGCGACGCGTCGTGGACCGGATGGATGCACCCTCTTGCGACGCCGTCGTCAGCGCCCCCCACAACGCCGCGGTCCAGGGCCTCGCCACCGGGACCAGGTTGCTGACCCATCCCATGATGCCCGCTGCCTGGGAGAGTCGCCGAGTGGAGATCATCCCGTTTCGGCCGGCTTCAAAGATTTCTTGAAACAGTTCGAACAACCGTTGGGTTTTCTCCGGGGTAAGGGACACTCTCAGGTTCTCAAATCGTTCCCCTTCTAAATGGAGAGCAACCCCGATCCACTCTACTTTGGGACCTCGCTGAACTTTCTTCCAAGCCAGGGTGGCACCCAAACAGCACCAAAGAAGCGTCACTCGTGCAAAGACCGCGGTTCGGGCTCTTGTGGATGGTCCTATGGCAACAAGTAAGGGGTCGTCCACATAACATTGGGAACGTCCCTCCCGAGATTCCATGGTCGCCTGTCCCAGGCGGAGGAGGGCGGCGGCCAAACGGCCCCAAACCAGGGGACCGCAGCACAGCCCAAAACAAACAGAAAGCAAAATGTAATACCGACCATCGTTGCCCTTCACCACGGTATGTGATCGCTCCGATGGGTGCAGTTTCAAGGTGTAGAATGCGTCTGAAAAATCAATGATATAAAACTCCGGTACATCGTGTCCACCTGCATGCTTTAAAAGTTCACCTAAACACTTGGCAACATCAGAAACACGGGGGAGGACGACACGCTCGTGAACCGACATGCGTCCGTTGACCCCGGATCGTCTCATGTCCACGATGATTCGAACCTTCTCCCGCCCTTGTTTCATTTTCACTATGCAGGCCATCTTGGTGAGTGAAGCGTCTCCCACCGATGCGACCACATCTGCCCAGGTGTCTTTGCGCAATGCCCAACCTCTTTCCACCATGCGATCCAGCTCGGACTGAGCTTTGTCACCGGCTTCGGCAAAGGACGAGTAGTTCTGTGCCTTCCCATCCCAATCATCCATCACTGCAAAGGCTTGAGAGGCTTTGGCAGCCGCGGTCAGGTCATCAGACCTGGGGAACACACCTGTGTAGGTGATCTGCTGGTTGATTCCGATGGGGAAGCCGTCCTCAATCCAAGCCGGCAACACAGTGGCATCAGGGTCTTTGGCCTGTGTCAACAACTGTCGGAGAAGGTCGCTCTGGTAGCCTTCGTCCTTGGCCTCAGCTTCAAAGTGCCGGGTCAAGCTGTAGCGTGCTTTCCAAATCAACCCCTCCGGAAAAGGACATTCATCAACCGAATTCTCAAAACAGGTGAGGATGTCGTCCGTGAGCGACTGGTCCAAAAGTTGTCGGATCTGCCGCCCC